ACTGAGCGCCGCCTCCCCGCCAGCCTCCCGCCTCCCCGCCAGCCTCCCTCCTCTTGCCCGCCTCCGCCCAACGCCGAGCTCGAGCCGCCAATGTGGTCGTACTCGGCGTCGTCTCGTCGCCTCGCCCCGAGCGCGAGCCGCCAATGCGGTCGCGTTCGGCGTCGCCTCCCTTCTCGCCCCCGCACACCGCCCAGCCTCGAGCGTGAGCCGCCAACGCGGTCGCGTTCGGCGTCGCCTCTCACCCTCGCGGCCCCCTTCGCCCGACGCCGAGCGCGAGCCGCCAATGCGGTCGCGTTCGGCGTCGCCTCTTAACCTCTGGCCCGTCCAACGCCGAGCGAGAGCCGCCAAATGCGGCTCCTTGCTCGGTACGCATCGGGTTCGGGAAGGCCGACAGTGCGCCGCTTGCTCCGGCAAGGGCAACAACGTCAGTAGCCCGACCCCGACGACTCCGGGCGCGTTGACGAAGTCCCCCGGCACGCCGTCGGGTGTGAGCGGCATGGACGCTCAGCTGCAGTCGACCCCGACCCGGACTCTGTGGATTGGATCCATCCCGTCGACGACCACTCCGGCGGCGATCCTGAGTGTCTTCAGTCCTTATGGTCCTATCGAGTCTGCGCGTGTTCTCACTCACAAGAACTGCGGCTTCAGTACGTGTTGGCCTACTCCCAGTGTTTAGTGACTAATTCTCCGTTCATCGCTAGTTAACTTTGAGTGTTTGGACGACGCTGTGCGTGCCCGAAAAGCGCTCAACGGGCGTGACATCCTTGGTAGCGACGTCGGCGCGATCCGCATCGGCTTTGCCAAGGTTCCGGTCAAGAATGCCGCCGAGGGCGCATCGAACGAGGACGACGCAGCACCGTCGCTCCCCGTCGGCGGAATCGGAGAGCTCAGCGTCGGAGTGTCCATCCACGCCCTGCGCAACGTCAAGGGTGCCTCGGCCATGCCGACCGACCAGTAGGTCTTGCGAATGTCTGTAATGCTTACGTAATCGATACTTTCACTACTTGATACGCTTTTGTAACTTATATAAATTATCATGAAAAATAATAATTCTTTACTAGAATTTGAATGATTACCAGTGATATATAATAAATTAATAAAAGTAATTATACTCTGATGACTACAACATCTATTGAGCATATGATTGCTGTAGAGTTTACATAGGATATATAGTTGCAGTAGCACTGATGTGTGAGCTATATAGCACTGAGGTATGCTGTCACGTGTCGGATCTTGGGCCATAACCGGGCCAAGTACGATAGCTCCGGTCGTTCCGGGTTGTCCGCCATCGGAGTAGCAGCTCCGGTACCGGACCTACGTTATCACATGAATAGTCCTCCGGCGACTCAACGTCCCGGTAGTTCTCGAGTCATAACGGATTCAACTCCGACGTTCACGACCGATATGCCTTTAACGGTTTGATATTCCCTTCGGACTTATTCTACCTCCGATTATCAGTTCGTAACCATATGCTCCGTCCTTACGATTGACAGTTCCACATGGTTCATAGTTCCGATAACTCCTTATTCCACATGGTTCATAGTTCCGATAACTCCCTATTGATACGAGCTCCGAACCGTGCCTCCGCGTATATAAACTCCTAGCTCCTGTACTCTAACTCCTTAGTTCGAATATCAACTAAGTTACTCCTCTGCTCCGACACGGACTTAGAGCGCGTAGCGACTCAAGCCTTAAAGCTTGAGTCTGGTCCGTACTCGCACTCACTCTCTGTATCTCGAAACTCTGCTCCGACTTTCTCCGACTTTCTCCGACTCTCTTCCGACTCGACTCCGACAATCATCTCGCTAGGTCCGGACGTCACACCTCCGGCGTCGGACTTAGCTCCGTCTCGATCTTGACATATGCCCTACATAGCTACTATAGCCATGACAGTACCCTCTATAGCACCTATAGCACTATGATAGCATTGGCTGGCGGATATTTAGCATGGGTAGCAAAGGACATCGCTATGGACCTATGGAGGCTATATGGGACTATGTAGTGCCATATAGTGATCTAGATTTTTTCAGATGTTAGGTACGGAACTCTGGTCGTGACCATACTCCAAACTCTGCTGTCTGGTCTTGCGGCGGTCATTCTGTGGATAATCGTGGCTGATCAAGGGTAACGGTGCTTACTGTCTTCCTCATCTCTGTCCCTCACTCGAACATCTGCAGGAACCACTTAACGACGAGATGGCGAATCGCCATCAGGAAATGCCCCCTCTGGCAAATTGTTACATATAGGAATACATAGTTCATAATACGACTATATTCTATTAAAATTTCACAAAAAGGCCAAAAAATCACATAAAACTGTTAAATCATGCCAGATGACTGACCATTTAGAGAGTACTGTCTTGTAGGTACAAGGGGGCTTGAAACCATCAACATAGAAGGTTGTTGCAGTGTCAATCATATTAGCACTGGTCCATGTACAAGGAGCTTAGAGACCATATCTAGGTGTAAGTATTGGAGTTGGGGTTTGGTACTTTACTGCTGACACCTCATCCTTGCATGGCTCCCTCTGTGATATCAGCTCATCCCATCTACCCCTAGCCTATATACACATCCTGCATGTACATGTGAAAAGCCAGATATCTCTGTAGCCAACAACATAGTTATGTACCCTGTAGATCACTGAAGTGATGGCTAGAAAACACTGTTATAATAGTTTAGTCTCAGGTGGTTGATTTCTCTAATGTCCTATTCATTTACCATTGACAGCCTCATGAACTGAAATGTATCTCTATATACTTTGGGATTGCTATGACATAGAGATACAGTAGCCAACACGGACTTAGGAGATTCAACGCGAATGAGCCCATCACGTGACGACCATCCTGCCGGCTTGTCGTCTCAGCCTACCGCGCTGGCAAGAGTGCGCCTGGCACCGCGCTTGCAAGTGCGCACGTCTCGCAAGTTTCCGCCGTCGCATCTCGCCCCGACACTTGCAGTGCCCGCTCCGCCGTCCTCAGCTTCCACCCGCTGCCCCTGTCCGAGGGAGAGCCGCCAACGCGGTCTCGCTCGGTGCAGCTCCCACCTCTGCCGTCTGCCCATCCCCGAGTGCGAGCCGCCAATGCGGTCGCACTCGGCGTAGCGTTCTCCCCCGCGCCCGCCGTCGCACCCCGCCCCGAGCACTCGGAGTGCCCGTCCTGCCACCCCCAGCTTCGCCCCTGCCCGTTTGCCTGGCCCCGAGCGCGAGCTGCCAATGCGGTCTCGCTCGGAGCCGCTTCCTCCACCCGCCGCTTGCCCAACC